GGGTATAAAAACAAACATCATGTCTATGGCTATAAACATGCGATTCAACCAATAACAACATATTCACTCGGTTTGGTGGTGGAAAATGAAACAAGCGGCTATACTATCAACAGACTAGCCAATGACAGCCACAACAACATCACCTCGGAGATAATTTATATCTTATAAAGTAGTGGATGCTTGTGTGGGTCAAATTATACTAACAAATTCAGCGATCTGCAAAAGCCGGAAAAATAAATATTTCAGAAAATCATCACTCTTTACATCAAAATAGACCTCCGTTACTAACTCCACAGCTAAATTCACAAACAAAGAGGAGCAAATAATGAACACTGGTCTCAAGAAAATGCTCAGCAAAATTACTTCACATACAGATGGGGTGAGCACTTTGAGATACTAGAGAGACCCACACTATAGAATCAACAAACTTCATGAATTTTCAAATGAATGTATAAACTTAACTCTACCTCATTTTGCAGCAGACCTTGTTACTAAAAAGTATGGATGTAGAAGTTGCCAAGCGCAATAGCCCTAAAATGAGAATGAGAAGAAAAATAATCATGTTTCTCGTCAACAAATATCCAATTTATCTACAAGCAAAACTCCTTCATCTTTTAATATCCAGAATTCTAAAGAACAACTTTGCCATCTCTAAGTGGAACTGAAATAGTTAATTGAAAGTTCTACAAACAATTTGTGTCTATGCACTGGACTAGTATGTGGAACAAACTGTCAATAAATGGAATAGTGTCGATAGGATATACCAGTAATATTCAAGGCTTATAGGACAACACTCGTTTCCAATAGGATTGCCAGACTCAATTAGGATACAAATAACTTGGAAAGTGATTGTATCAACCTAGCTTCTAAAATGTATACCTTCAGAATAGAGAGAAAGATTGACAAGTCTATTGGGTTTAAATGAAGTACTGTTAGTGGTGTTAGAAATAATTTGAATGTTTAACGAAATAAGCAACACAATTATCACTTGAAGTTGATAGCAGCAAAACACGAGTTATAATTGATATTTTGCGACGTCATCCGAATGAATGTAACATCATGATTACATTGCGACTGTCAATTGCAAATCAGGATAAATGTTGTTTCAAGATAAATTCGTTCGAATTCGGTTGCATTTTGCTTCGTTCGAATGAAGATATGAAACATATCAAGATTGAGAAGAATATATATCTTTGCAAAACTTTTGTCAATGGCGGGAATTATTTACATTTTCTACAGACTCAATTACAAGAGTTATTGGAAGAAATTTCGATAGTCATGTGACGTCATATATTACACCAAAATGGTACACCAAAATGGTGTACCTGCGCAAAACAATATGATTTTCAAGGAATATTTGGATTACTAATAGATGAACTGAGACACATAAAACACTGGAATGGACAGTGAAATAGCGAGACATGACACAACTGGGCATTCTACTCGGGAAATATTCTTGAATTTGTGTAAAACATGGTCGTTATCAATTTTGAAACTGTTGTTGTACTCATTATTGTTATTGGCTTGAGTTTCCGGAAATTTATTTCTTGGTATCCCAAATATCTTCCACACGACATGCTGCACGATAATTGAACTTATTCCAAGTTCAACTATTATAATTGTTTGAATAAACAATATTTCGAAATAATCGGTCTGTATTTTGGTTTCTGTCATGTCTGGTGCTGGAGGTTTTGACCAACTTGAGTTTTGTGTTGTACTGAATCCAGCTCCGACATATCAGTTGCTGAAGTACCTACCCTTGAACTGGAGTAACACGGCTTCTTTTACTAAAATATCTTTTATGAAATCGACAAGAAAACTCATATAACAAATATCAAAGAAGCGACTTTCTGAAAAGTCAAGCTTCAATATCTTTCGCCGAATGAGAATGCTGTGGTTCATCCAGTTTTTTCTACACAGTTGAAAAGAAGGTGTCTTCTGGAGAAAGACACCTTGAGAGATTTATCCAGTTCTTTTCCATTGTAATATTGCTTTTTTTACAATATTAAAGAAAAAGTGTTGAATGTTGTTTTATATAATATTTCAGGTAGGTATAATCCTTGAATGGAGGTATGAATTTTTTTTCGACATTTTTTGGTCGGTCTGTAGCCAAGCGGTTCGGTGTGGGTGCTTTGTTCACTCATTCGAATTGACTGCCGTGTTGGTCGGTGGTTCAAGCCCTAGTCTGAACGATCGATCTTCACTCGCTATCGTCCAACCCGTGTTAGGAATCACACGTTAAAAGGTAAGACCTCGTTAATCCTTAGCTCGCACAAGTTTCTACTTCTGAGGGTTGTCGTTCGTAGGGGTGCGACAGCTGGTTAACGGAAAAACAGATTTTTTTTACAGATGTGTCGCTGATTGGGAAAATTGTTTGTTCTGGATATACCATCCAAAATGAAATGAAACTTGATTTCTCGCACGAAAAACTTATAGAGTCTGAATGTTGATTGACGGTCCCATTTCCAAGAATTCAAGAAAACGTTTATCCAAAAATCGAAATAAAACGTAACTTTCACTCCCTAATGTGTGTATATTTCTCTGATCTGTTTTGAGTTGCGGATACATATCTAAAATAACAATACCAGATCCATCTTTATTGCAAAACATAGAAAATCGGACATGATTTCGTAAAGGAGTTGAGGTTATTTGGTTTTAAATCACTTTCATTGAAAATACCATAAATCACAACGCAGGTATATCAGGAACGTATCACAGGCTAACATAACACTGCTCCGAGGCCAATATAGTACAGGGCGGTGAAGTGAACGAAAAGGTTTTCACGTCGGGATTCGAAAACAACAAAATACTTTCGGTTGCTGTGAATTATCTCGGCATCGCGAAGAATCCAGATCAACGAATTAATCCGCTTATAGACTGCATGCTCAGGGCAGCAGGACGTTGCATATCTTAATGAGGATCAAGAAGTGATTTAGAATTGAGGTGAAAGTAAGCCGTTCCAATTCAATGCCAAAAAAACCCCGGCATAGGTTTTCTCCAAAAACAAAAAATGTCCCAGAATCACTTTCTGCTTCGATGTGTTTGTTGGGGGTTAAAATGGAGACCAATTTGTCTTGGCACATTCATGTCGCTGGAATTGCAAAAGCCGCATCCCAAAAGCTTGGAACACTGTTCCGAACCAGAAAACGGTATACACCTCAGCAACTTTTGATGCTTTATGAAGCTCAGATCTGACCTTTTTTGGAGTATTTTCTCATGTATGGAGCTACGCCTCTAAGCATACCCTGAAGCTGTTGGATTCCATCCAAAGTAGAACCATCCGCCTGATTGGAGACGCAAACATCACTTGCAGCCTTGATAGTCTGGAACATCAAAGCAAGTTTGGAGATTTGTCTCTCTTCTACACATACTTTCACATTTGATTCCACCAAGAGCGGTACATATCAGAACTACGCGACGGACTGTGACTGCTCATCGTTTTGAGCTTCAACTCAGTACACCTCGAACTTCACTGTTTAAGAACTCTTTCATCTGGAGAACTTCGTTTATGCGGAATAATTTTTCTAAGAACGTTTCTTCAAATGAATTTAAACTCCAGCGATTTAAATTGAATGTGAATCACTACTGTCGCACAGGCACCACTCTTAGAACACCTGTAGTGCTTGTGTTTTGTCCTTGAGAAAGTATTTTGTTCCCTCTGTTATTGAACGTCGTATTTAGAAGTTATTACATGTTTTGGACCGTAATATATAGAGTACGTACTATGTAGACATTTTGAGCAACCCAGTCCAAAAGGCAAATATGATAATATAATGAGGTAATGCATGCTGCAAGCTATGAAACGGAATGGATCGACGGAGAATACACTATTCTTTTCTTGTCCTAAAACCAACATCTGGAGAAGATTCAAAAAAATGCGAGAAAATGAAGGAAATACATGGAGCTGAAACCATACAGATGTACTAACTAAACACAATAATGTTAAATGAAGCCCATGGTAACATACCTACGCAAAATTAACAAACAAGCAGTTTATGAAGACTTGAGTGGATGATGAACAGTTCTCCCTCAGCAGGAACTCCTGGTATACACACAGATCGATCGAAAATCGAATATATGACGGAAGCAAAAATTCACCATTCAAGTGGAAATATAATATTTCAACAGGAGTTGATCGATATTATTACAGATATCAAGTCTGCACTCGAGCGATTGATGGAATCAAGAATGATATCGAGACTGCTCTGGAAATACCATGAAAACTAAAAGATACTAATAGGGTATCATGGCAATTAGGAATCAGAGAATACACAAAAGCTGATGAATATGCAGTATGACTTAGGTGACTGTTAATTATTTCACGCAAATTATATCGTGAACAATAATATTTGTTATGCACTGATTGAAATCTTTGGGATAGTAATGAATATTAGCCAAGCCTCTGAGACTTTAAGTTCTCAAATTTTGGGAATATCGACTCATAAGTCTATTTTGAAAATTATTTGATAATATCTTCAATGAGGCGATAGCCTGATTATTATTCAATAATTAGTGAATATGTAATGAGAGACATATTCATCTGCGAATAATTTCTTTTTTTGATTAAATTAGATTGGATTAAAGTCCAAAATGATTTCGTTGAAACCCTTCTATCACAGAAAATTTTGCGTGGCAAAGATAATTTGTTGGAGAGAGAGAGCATATGCAGTCACTTTTCATGGCATGGAGAATCCACATGAAGGTGAAGAGTTATTTGATTCTTAATAATTTTAGACCAATATCCTAATAAGAATACTCCTAATCGATACCCTCAAACTAGTGGTTGAAATGTAATATTCTAATATTAGGTGAATATAACGTGAAGGTTCATCCGGAAAAGTCGTGGACCTAACCGAAGGTCAAAGTAACATAATTCTATCTGAAAATGTTATTTGAGTCATTTGTATTATGCTTTTGCTGTCTTTACTACTTTTAAAACACGATAACATCCTTTTCTATATTGTTGCCTGCACTTCTAATCTCATATAAACTTGTTTCAGCTCCAAAACCAGTCAACAGAAGGTCTCGGAAACCTGGTTTAGATAGAAAACCTCGCCAAGCCTACAGCGCCAAACAACTGGAACGGTTGGAAACCGAATTCAAAATCGATAAATATCTCAGCGTCAGCAAACGCATGGAGCTCAGTAAATCCTTGAATCTTACAGAAGTACAAATCAAAACCTGGTTCCAGAATAGAAGGACGAAATGGAAGAAACAACTCACCACCAGACTAAAGATGGCCCAAAGACAGGGACTCTTCGCTCCTCACTATTTTGCGCCGAGCGCGGTTCAACAGTATTCACCTTTATTTGCTCCATATTGTGCTCCTTTGGGGTGTGTGTTCGGTACTTCGACAATGGAGGGCGCTGATAGTATAGCAGATAATTCCATTAAAAGGAAGACTTAGATATTTTTATGAATATTGAAGTTATTTAAATTTGTTAATTTATTCTTCATGTTACTATTTTTTTTGTATAAAGTTTGAAACCGTACAGAGTTGGAAAATATATACCACTAGCTGACCCAGCAAAAGTTGTTTTGCCACATAAATTATTTTTAGGTAATTTCTAGGGTAGAAAATTATAACTAACTCATTGTAAATGTGTGTCAAAACAATAACACTCACAAATAATATCAATCACTTAATGCTTTAGTGTGTACAATATTTTTTGTCAGTTTATGTTTGGCCTTTTGAATTTATAATAGTCATTGTAAATGCCAATCTAATTGGAAATTTCACAAGTCTGAAATGAATTGGCACATCTATAGGTATAACAGGGATTCGTGGTATTAATATATTTTCACCCCGGAACTTGCCATTCAATATGCTGGTTTCGACAACATTTTTCATTAATTTTTCAATGATTTATCGCGTACGTTGCTCAGCCGTGGTGGATAAAAATTACGGAGCGATCCAACCTTTAGTTGTAAATTTTGTGGTGGCTTGCCGAGCAAAGTCAATGAGTTCAAAAATTCTGTTGGATAATTTTCATCTTCCGTGACATCACAAACTGTATCTACGCTCGATGGATAAACAATAATAGTGACCAAAAACTGTATAGTGATTGAGAGAAGGCTTATTGTATGAAGGAGACTGTCACTGTTCTTATCCTTGCTCCGTGATATTTACTGAGTGAGAAGTGACACCGATAGATGCCTGGCGGGAATAATTGATCTAAGATCAGGGTTAAAAATGAGTAAATTACTGAACTGACTATTAAAAAATAGAGATTGGTGATAGAATGGTAAAAATTGAGGTTTATATGTATTTTCTTATGCAAAATCATACAAATTTTGCCAAAAAAATAAAAAATAAATGTTTGGGGTGGAGCACCTTTATTATGAAAAATAGATTAAAACCTATTCTCAGATCTACCAAATATACATATGAAATTTCATAAGAAGTGGTCCGAGGAGTATGGCAACTAACACAGTGACACGAGAATTTTATATATAGATTAACTGATTTTGTTAGATATATATACTTGTATCAAAGGAATGCGGTTTCTTTTCAATTCAAATTCGTAAAGAGTACCTAATAATTCACTTCTGAAATAAGTTTGTTGAAAATAATATCGTGTTATTTGTATTGGGGAAAATTTTGAACAAACTCAACAGAATAATAACAAAAACTATAATAAAAAAATTTTGGTGTAATGAAGGAAAATTAAAATATTCTTTCGAGAAAAGTGAGCTCACTATTTCATTCAAAATGTATTTATTCAAAGGAGTGAAAAGATCAAAAATACTCAAATAGAACTGTCAGCAATACTCTGATTTTCATTAGGAAGGGTTTACAAAACATGTGTTTCGCTTGACAATAGCTTAATTGCAGGATTTCCTGCTTGAGAAAACTATCGTCTAGCGAAATANTATAGTAGACAATGGAAGTCCGAACTAGTGAAATTCATCATGAAACGTTGTCAATCACCTTCAAAGAAAGGTTTTTTTGGTTTTATCTTTGTTCAAACTCAACACATGAAGCAATCTTATGAATAAGTAAGTACTATCAATACGTTACGAATTTACTGAAAATTTTGACAAGTTCAACATAGATAACCTAAAATTTTAAAAAAACAATATTTGTATCTAATGAGGCTCCCAATTCTACATATCGAATTCCATAATTATGGGTCTGTAATTCATATTATTAGGAACAACCATCACTGATGATTAGAAAAATAGTAGGTACACTAATTATATACATAAAATGAAATAGTATAAATATAATTTATACAAATGTTTTACAGTTTCAAGAAATTCTGATGTCTCAAAAAACTATTGTGAACCCTACGTAATGCCTGTCTCTCACAAATACTGTTTCAATGTTACGTCTGTCATGTCATTGCGACAGGACGGCACAGGACGGGAACATGACATGAATCTTCATTTCTGTTTCTATAGTTTCTTATAGCGGGGCGCGCACTAAGACAAACAACGGACAGGCACATACCAGGACAGGAACAGGACGCCCCCCCCATAAGAAACTATAGGGAAACGAAATTTCTTGTCATGTTTCCGTCCCGGCATGCTCACGTCCACTGCTCCCTGTGTGGCATGTTATCATAGAACTTAAGCGGGGTTTATTGAGAGCAAACAGTACCGCATTATCACACCATACACTATCGCTCAGATTGAGTTTGTACTATTAGTCTGGGCTATAAGTTTAGATTCGTGTTAAATGGACATACTATTAGTAAAATTTGTTACATTTACAAGTATTCTCGATGAAAAACTCGGATGAAATATAATTCAATCGGAATCCATCCGAAAATGATAAATATTTTAAGGGTAATCTGGAGATTCAAATGAACTGAGTTCTCCGTATCAATCAATAATATATTCAGCTTCTTTTTCGACAGAAAAAGTTAAATATTTAGGAATATTCGTAGATGCACTCTGTGAAACTTCGAAACGTTAAAGAAAATATTACAAAAAAATAAAAATGGTGCTTTGAACATTCATAGAATATCATAGCAGACGTTCTATGTTGGATGTTTTGAGAACGTTCAGAAAACCTATTAAGAATACTCACATAAAGTTAGGAGAATGTCCCCAAAGCATTTCGAATGACATATTTTTAGCATATTGAAGAAAAGGCTTTGAAATATTCTTTGCAGTTAGGGACGTATGTTATTAGGTAACAAAATTATTTCAACAAAAAATGTCAAAGTATAAAGTATGAAATGAAACGACTTCTCTTTGTATTTGTATTCTTTGCGAACGAATGATTGCATGTTGGCCTTAACAAATGAATTCATCTTATATTTTATAATTATAAAATAAGAATTTATTGCTCTTCATAATACAATAGTACATAAGTTGAAAAGACAATAAACATAGTGACATTTGACACGTCAAACAAAAAATTCACACACTATTTGCATTCACATTTGAAATATAAGAGAAAACAGCGCCAAAGACATCATTTATTTTGTAAAATGCCTGGATGTGGCTTGGCTTACAAGCGCTCGCTGAGTTTTTTAATTGAAAAGTTTTTCCACTCTTGCGGAAAAGTATTATATATTTTGCTGAAAAAATGCTTTGGATTGTTTTTCAGTATTCACCAAATTAATTTTAGCTGTTCTAAAGATCTCTNTTTCGACTCCCGAAACGGTATCTCCATTATTCATAATTTTAATTTAACGCTGAAAATAGCCGTCCGTGCGCCATTTTTGGGTTGCGCGCACGGCCTCTAAGCGAGTACGTATTTTGAAAATAATTTTTTAAGGCACTTAAAATAAATAGAAAAATTTTAAAAATTTATGATATAATCTAAACACCATAGAGAACTGATTTCCGTTGGGATTTTTCATTAAAGTAAATTTTTCAATAACCTAGACAATTGGTAATTAACAAAATTTTCTAAAACTTCCTTTATCGTTCAAAGTAAAAGAAAAATTTTAATTAATTACCGTAAATTTTTTTCGCTTTGTGAAGCCCTTCTTAGATACATACAAAAGAAAAATGCATGATAAAAGTTCTGAAGATTTTAATAGGTACTTTGTTTATAATCCTTTTTTAAAGTAAACCAAAAAAGGAATAACACAATAATGTAAAAAAAATGTCTCTTTATCTTTATCATTATTTCATGGTTTTTATGTCGATAAAAGACATTTATAAACTAAAAAGAATAGTTTTGATCTCCATTTGTTTATACATTTTTTATTAACAAATGGACTATTTCAATAGTTTGATCAGACCAGATCAGGATAGTTTCAGTTATTTATTTTTTTGGTCTAAATATGTATTCTAACAGTACTCATTCTATTTTTCCAACAAGAAAAGTTCCAGTTTATATGTTAATATTGTCGTAAATGTTGAAATGCCTTAATTTTCATAATCAGTTATGAAATATGTTTTGACCTTTCGTAACTCATCAAGGACATTCATTCCGTAATTATACTTTGATGTAGAAATATTGAAACATTATCGAATAGTTCCGAGGTACTGAATTTATTTGAGAGACCTGGATGAAAATAAAATCTCAACAAGCAGTAGTTGGACTGAAAAACTCGTAAGCTAGAATAGAAAAAACAATGTTTTGGTAAAATTTGATTTCATTGTGCAATATGGTTGCCTTCGAAGACAGTACAAAGATTGTAGCAGTCTATTTTTGAATATTATTTTTATAGTACGATTCGTCTTCAGCCTCAACATAGGCCTCAGTTTTGACGATTACCGCTTTATCCGCACAGTGGATGCGAAAGCAATCAGAAGCCCAACTAATGCAATTATGCCATCTTTCTCATTGATTTGTGACACGGTACTTTATCTTGATGAAATAGCACTTTCTTCTTCTTCAAATGTTGCAGTTTTTCCACGATTCACGCTCCAATAACTTTATGTAAAAGTAGCTGTTAATGGTTTTCCCTTCTCAAGATAGTCGATGAATATGCGCATCCCAACCCATAATCTTGTCAGCCGTCTGTTGCGTCTCTGTAGGATTTAGAGTTGATTCACCATGTGCTGTCCAATCAGAATTATCAATTTTGTGAACTGTGATCTCGCGCGGCACCCACTTTGAACAGAGCTTTCGCATACCCGAATATTCATGCACGATGTGTCAACACATTCCTTTGATATCTTTAGAGCAAAAGCTTTCTCTTTGCTTTCACGTTGCGGTCGATAACAGCCTCTTTGGTGCATTCACTGCGTCACCTCGTTTAAACTTAGCAACCCACTAATCAACTGTTGATTTTTCTGGTGCAAAGCCCGAATAATGTTTATCAAGCCAAGGCATGACTACAACAGTAGTTTTTTCCACCAAAAAATGAATGCTCCATCAACACACGAACATCCTTTTCATCCATTTTCTTTTAAACTAAAAAAGTTGCTTAACCCAAAATGTTCTATCTCACAAACTGAAAATCTTCTGACAGCTGTGAAATTTGTACAAGTGTCTTTTGAAAGTTAGGGTCAACTAATAATCATATGAATTCAATACTAGTAGCGCCATCTGTGTGTTAGCCTACGAACTTTTTAACCCATCTAATAATGATCCAATGACGACAAAGTCAATAAGACTTTAGTATCGATACTGATAACAAATAGTTAAAATGTTGAAAAGCTTGCAAAATTCNAGAGAATAAAACTGGACCCAAGATCGTTCCCTGTGAAACTCCGTACTCAACAATTTCTTCAAGGCTTTTTTCTGTATTTAATCACACATATTGTTAACGGTCTTTCAGGTATCTGTTGAATAAGTCATATGCAGCACCTCGTATTTTATATTCTGCAAAGTTCCCAACAACGGAGGATGACTAACTGTGTGAAACGCCTTTGCTATGTCCAAAAACTCACACAACGTTTGATTTTGTTTGCAGACGTTTTCATAGATTTCACTAGTTGATAAAGTAATAGCATCTTGAGTGGATTTGCCCTCTCTGAATCCGAATATATGGCTATAATACAGCTTATATCATTAGGAGTCTACCTGCATACATAACCCGTCGTTAATACAATGCCCACTAATTTGCCTCACAGTCACATTGTTTCATAATCACTATATAAAAATTAATTTGTGAAGAAAGTGACCTGTAACAACGCCATTTAAGGGCTGTATCAAATACTTACTTCTGTAAGTAAGTATTTGATACATTTTCGTTCTCGAAAGAATAAATGTCCATGAAGTCTATTGATGCTGTTGCTTAAAAAAGTTTTTGTCACCGCACTTATCGAAATAATTTCTGGAGCATAAACAAAATTCCGAAAATATTAGGAGAAAATCGAAATGTCTCAGCATAGTAGAACTACAACAAGTAGAATTATCTCGGAGAACCGAGATACTTTTGAGAATGAACTGAAAAATATGTTGGCAAGGTGAACAGTAAATAGTCACCTCTATTCTCTTGATGAATCTTCATGTTTAAATTAGCTCATTTTCGAATGAAGCCTGTGGTTTTTTTACCACGAGGGAATCTTGACTGTCTGTTGCTTGAAAGTCAGATGACCCTACATACCTAATCAAATTTTGAAAGAAACTATGGACAGATGCACATGACCTTTCAACTGTTGAAAGCATGGATTATGTTCTCAACTTCAGCATCACAGTTGCAAGTGTGATAAAAGTTCTGACTGGAACTGAAGTAAAAGTTTGACAAATTCATTCAAACTTACTAGCAAGCTCTATTGATAAACTGCCACCACATCTATAAACACAATGGAAAAGCTTTCTGGTTGAAAAGAAATCCTTTCTTCGCCATGAAACAAGCAATTGAAGAAAAACTTTCGATCAAGAAATATCTATCTAACCGGAAACATTATCAACACGGAATGATGAATATTCAGGTTCCACCAAGAAAACCTGCATAATATGTGAATAATATCCGACACCCAGTCGAAATACGCAATCAGTTCATGTCTTCTGACGTACAACAGCAATATAAATTAGCATGACTAGAAGATTAATGCTTGTTTTTGTTGTCTATAGTCTCACCTGAAGGTGTTTTAAAGAAAGAAAGCTTGCAACATCAACTTGATAAATTATTATCCACTTTTTCACAAAAATAACCAACATAACGCATTTTCCTTAACTTCTGAGTCCAATGTTTGTATTGAAGACATTCTGGGCTCAAGATTCTTTCAGTAAAATTCAAAAGCTCCAATATTACGTTTACTGTACGTGCTTGATTGGATGAAGGAAGTACTGCTACACTAATTGACTCTTCAATTGCGAAACCAGAATTGAGTAACCCAGTTATGCCTTCGCGCTGTAAATGGACAGGTACCTAACATTTGTCATTTGACAATTCCAAACTAGTTTGAACAAAAATCACATTTTATGACCTTGAATTACCTGAACATTTGTTCGAGTTGGGTGCCTACCCATAATAATTCACTTTCTGAAATGATGTAGTTCATTGATTAGTTCTTTCTGCGATTCATGATAGGATTCCCATTCCAGTCAGAATCAAACCAACATTTTTGTTAGCAGAATAAAAAAGCCAAATACGATTTTGTTTCTTTAGATGCATCGAAATTGTATCGTATTTTTCATCAGATGTGAGAATGCTTATTTATTCCTTCAAATTGATAAAAAATTTGAACGGCCGTTTCTATAACGAACAATAATATTTCCAGAATTTTCAAAGTCAATTTTCTGCAATCAATGAATCAATATTTAAAACATATTCTTTGATCCACAGCAGCCAATACAGTGGTCTAAGTTAGGTTAGGTCCAAAGTGAGTGGGTCTATTCGACCTTTCACCGCAACCCGCAAGAGTATATTGTGGCTCACACCTATTCATACTCGACCAAATAAACCCAGCTTCCTAACGANCATAGATTTCAAATCATATTAGTATCATATTATACAATGGAAGTCCGTACTAGAAAAATTCAAAGAATCATCTTTTATTTCGTCACCAAAAGAAATGCTATCTTGACTCATTTTCTCGCACTGCTCTTTACATAAACAATACATTCGAATTATTGTTACATTATAAAAATATGCTGCTTCATGCAAATTTCATAGACACAAAAAATAGCATAAAAGTACTAAAAACAATGTAAAACTAATAATACATACTATTGCAGCTCTCCTCCATCTATAACCTACGTAATCAAATACAATATTGTTTATCACAATGACATACCGTGTATAACAGATGTTGAGCTTGACCAACTGGTTACTTTGCGTTTATAATAAAAAATAGTTTGTTTTCTAATTCAATGAATTCAAATTCTGTGTATGTGCAGACACATACTATTTTTCATTATTGAAGTTATGGGTATTATTCTACGGAACTCATCTTTGTCATACTTCACTACCCTTATCTGGTTTGATGATGAAAACTCAATATAGGATATCGACTGAGTGAAAAAAGAACTAATATATCGCATCGTTTTTCTGCACAATACACGGAATGACTTTATTTTTCGATACAAAAATCACGTGAATATTTCCCAAAGCAAATACAATAAGCACAGCGGCAGATATACGTTGGATAAAATTTCAATTTACTTCACCATATTCAAAAACTGAGACTCGCCGAGAATAGTTCAATATTATCGATCAAAAATCGACTCTCACAAAAAAGTTTTCATGTGAACATTATTCAACAAATATTATCATTCACATGAATATAATGAATCATCAATAATCAGATATACTATCTTAAATAGGCAATACTATTAGTTCAGCGAACTAGCTTTGAGTAAACTCAGATCAAAGTCAAGTTTATAGTTTCAACAACATACTTAGGCAGGGCTTTGAACAAAACCGATAATCAGTACTATTGTCAACTCAGTGTGTTTGAGATCCTTGAACACGGCATCAATACAATATTCCCAATAGTTTATATATTTTGGTTACTCCAGCGATCCCTTTCCTGTGTTTGGCAGCATCAAACATAAAAGCCCGCTTCCTGAAAACGAAAAGATAGTGATAAGATAGTACAAATAGTAAAAATTTCTGATTCACTCGACCATTACTTGATGAAGATCCATAGTAATTTCACAAACTGCACCTATCGATTTGATCTTCACCTTTATTTTCAAAAATATCATGCTATCACAATAGCTTTTTCGTAGTCAATAACATACTGAAAGTTAATTCTGCACTCTAAATTATACAGGGTGTTAATTAAGTATGTACCATAAATTTAACAAACGATTCTTCAGGTAATTTTAAGACGAAATGTTCACATAAACATGGGTTCCCAAATCCTTCGTTCTCAAGACACAGGGTGTTAAAATAAAAAAAAAAGTTGTTCGTAAATATCTTAAATATCCTTTACCTAATTTTGTTGTAATTCGGCAATGGTATATATAACATTACGGAGCTAATTTAGCCCGAACGTGATTCAATTTTTTAAGTTCAGTGGCGTCTCGAGCGGCGTCTCGAACGAATATTTTTGACTTAACAATGTACGCCACTGACTTTTGTGCAATTTTTATTATTTCTTTGGATTAGGCAATTATAAATACAACTTTTTTGTCTTTTGAATTTATTTATTAAAAAAGTTTAAAGAAAGTTTATTCCTCATAAACGCAGTTCTCCAAATAAAAGAGTTCTTGAACAGTGAAGTTTGAGGTGTGCGGAGTTGAACCTCAAAACGATGAGCAGCCACAGTCCGTCGCGTATTTCTGATATGTACCGCTTTTAGTGGAATCAAATATGGATAGTGTTCCACACTATCAAGGTTGCAAGTGATGTCCATGTCTCCAATCAGGGATATGGCTCTTTTCTGGATGGAATCCAGCAGCTTCAGGGTATGCTTAGGGGTGAATTTCCATACATGAGAACAATACTCCAAAAAAAGGTCTGATCTGAGCATTATAAAACATCAAAAGTTGCTGAGGTGTGTACAGGTGTACTTATCGAAGCAGAAAATTGAGTTGTCTGACCTGACATTATTATATTCGGTTCGGAGATATTTATCTTTTTGGAGAAAATCGATGCCCGAGTTTTGTGACATTGTGGCAATCAAGCTGCTGGAAAATAATTTTATAAAAATCGAAAGATGAATAGATAAGTACTGTTTTGATCATTCCCACATTTATTTCAATTCAAGAGCCACCGGTAGACAGCTGTTTCAGCCTATTGGGCATCGTCAGACAAGATGTGAATAACCAAGAAAAGTACTTAATAAAAATAACTGCGTAAACGCAAACGATACATAAGTGGAACCACCTATTGATGTGACACCCAAGTCAACTTGCCAAGTTTTTATGACGGTGTTGGTGGTTTGACCAATCAACCGACAACTGCGGTAGCAGAAATTTGGAAAGCTAACCTGGAATGGCATCGGAAAACGAATCCACATATTTCTTGGAATGATGTGAAATCGAGAAAGGTTAATGTCAAGATGCTGGAAAATAATTCCATGAAAAAAAAAGTTAAATAGATAAGTACTATTTTGATCATTCCCACATTTTCAATTTAGGAGATTTCAATTTAAGAGCCACCGGTAGTGAAGGAAGACGTTTTAAAGCCTCAACCAACTTCAAATTCGGATGTGTTCAAAACCGTCAATTAACAATAATAAATACAAAACATCCAAATTCGAGAAATCAGGAGTATATGAATTAACTTGTGGAACATATCCTAGGGTAGGTATATATTGGTCAAATTGAAATAACTTTTGAGAATCGAATTCAGGAACATCATATCTTGTGCTATCTATTTCAACAACTTTTTTTCGGTCTTATATTGAATCATTCATGCATTCTAATAGTCAAATATGGGATTGAAGCTTCCCATTATCAACTACATTGCCACCTCCTAAGACTGGGTTGACATACCCGAACTCGGGGTTGGAAATTAGATGAGGCTTCTCTGATAGACATTTTCTCAGTGTTTCACAATCTCAAGAATAAACGAAGAGGAAGTAACTATTATTGGAGGAAAAAGTCCGAAACAGTTTGTAGAAAGAGCCCTCAATGAAACTGTTGGAAACAGTATTCAACATATATATACAAATAAGACAATTATTCATCATAAACCCAACAACAACACACGTATCTCACAAATAACGGCATATATTATTTTCCTGGTAAGTCAGAAAATTTGAGATGAATCAGTTACAGTTATGATGTGAAAATAATGTTTAAAACACATTGAGATCTCTTCTGACAGAAAATAAGCTCGATAATACAGTTTAACACAAATAAAGACAGCTGGGCATATTCTGAAATTATCTGGTTTACACTCAATAAAATGTTGTGAAACAAAAATTGTCACCAAGAAACTTCACGAGAAAAAGGGAACATTCAAAGGTACTGCATATATTTCATCATCTGTTAAAAAGTGTATTCCAAAATGTATTCTGTTCCTGTGGCTCAGTTTACATTGGATTTACCAAACACAGCATCAATACCAGGATACAAGAACACAAGCGTAGCGCCGCCTCATGCAACCATGAGTTGGCAGCTACACAATCACGAGGCGGCAAAAATACACAATTGCAGAATATGTCCTAGTAGAAACAGACCTCGCATTGAAATACTAAGAAATTGTCTTGTCTAATTCAACACATTACTACGCACGACGCCATAAAGGGAGGCCATTGAGATCTATAAGCAACCCAACAATTCCAACAACAAAGAAGTTATGATAATTTTTCAGATCGTGAAAGGTTGAACATCCGAAAAATAGTGGGAAATACATCTTCATAATTTTTTCTACGAGACAGAGTGTATTTGGAAAGATTTTCACATAGTGTAGGAGAAATGATCGTGCAATTCATGAACAAATCTTTCGTTATTATATATTTCATGGCTTACCCAATAACATGCAGGAGAAAATCACAATGGGCACCACACAATTCAAGTCTATCAGAAAACCAAACAGAAGGTTTCCTAATAATGCTCCGCCTCTTCCAAAAGTGAGTGATAACGCAGCTGCCATTACCCTGAAAAAATAAATATTTCAAATTTCAGGGTTGAATTGAATGTAATAAATATGAATCTTTTGATATTTTTGATATTTTATTCATAGAATATACTTTCTCTGGAATATATTAGGGTTAGTTATATTCGCAGTTATTGTTTTAATTCTCATTAATACAGTTTAATACAGTTTGATAATTGAAAATTTTGCTATGTTTTTATACCACTTGTATTTGTAACTAACGTTACTATAGTTTCATCCTAGTGAGACATTTTCAAACGAATACAATAAACTACTACTTCTTAGGCATTCTTGTCGATGTATATTGTATTTACCGAAACGAAATGAGATATATATAGACCACAAAAGCTACAGAATGAAGGCTTGAATATATTCAACATATGCTGGCAGTGCTGAATTGGATGTATGTTTTCGTATACCCTCTATTTTGTTTATTTANAAAGGAGAAAAGCAAGGTGCATACTTTTCGTTGGAGCACTCGATATGAAATGATATCATCTATCATGACCACCATCCAAAATGGCATAATTTATAGTTTCGGAATAAGACGCCTGATCCATCACCTCATCGGCACCTTTTTAGACAACATTACAAAACGAAACACTTATTTCATTCATGATATTACGACTCTATGAAAGTTGTTCTTTGGAACAACTTTTTCTTCCAGTTTGAATCTGTAAGTAACTTCTATACAGGATCTGTAAGTAACTTCTATTCATTTCGAATGAATTGAAAGAGGTATATTTTCAATAGATATCAATTATTTGGGAAGCAAAAATTTTGGCTTTCTGCTTCTCCATCTTCATTCATAAAAAAATGTGGGAATATTTCAAAAATAAAAAAACAATTAATTACAAAATGAATTCTTAACACCGATGTGTAAGTTGTGTCAAGAAGTAACTTTTAGACACAAACTGTAAGAAAAAACCCTCTCGAAACAATTACTTCCATATTATGAACATTCAACCTAACAGCTTCTTTTTTTCCTCCGGAAGTTTCCCACATCTTTTGTTCAAAACTAGAGAAGTAGAAAGCTTTCGTTCCAAAAACTAATTTCTCCTAAAAGATATGTCCCATTCAATTTATAAATGTGTAATTTTCTTAAAAGCACTCATTTCTATGTCAATTTCATCCAATAATGTGTTTACTTTTTACATCCTTTGGACAATCCTGTAGTACTCGTAGATTCAGTTACGGTGAAGGTCGAAAGTGGTGAAAAATGTTCATTTCTTGGATATAATTTTCATTATTGTTGTGAATGAGTAGTATTTGATTTGATTTATGTATTAATGCCACTTCATAATGAATATGTGACTTCTCTTTGTGATCTTTTTAATTGACATATATTTGACAACTTGATAATAATTTCGACTAATGATATAACGGGTGTACCAAATATATAAATATATGTGATACACAACAATCTCCCACGCTTACTGAATTATTTTTTTTCAATTACATAATCGTTGAGGCGCGATGGAAGTTTAACAGGGCGGCCTGATCTTCTCAACTTTGTTATGTTGGTTGGTGGATGAGGTATTTGATCATCAGGTACTTCAATTTGATCTGGTTCAAACACCTCATTTTGAATATTATCGAGTTGATTGGCTTGTTCATCTCGCACTGGAATCGTCACCAAATCAGTTATATGAGGCTGTTTGGATTGATCTTCATAAGTAACTTCTACTTCAGGTGCGAAAAAGACGGATTTACTTTTGGGCAAGTTGGTCGATCTTATCTGATCAATATATCTCTTCAAAATATATCCATCATCGAGTTTCACTTGATAGTGAAGAAGCCCAAATTTCTTGATAATTTCACCTGTCTTCCATGACTGTTTTATTATTTGTGTAATACCTAATTTGAACTCTTTCTCCCACGCTGAATTGTCGTGCCTTTTTATTTGATGGTGCTGATTTTTCATGAACGGCTTTCAAAGCATCTAGCGTGATACGAATCTGTCGATTAAGAAAAAGCTCTGATGGTGTCGTCCCATTAGACAGTGGCGTTGCTCGATAACGAAAAAGTATCTCACGAACTTTCTGTCGCATAGAAAAAGGTTCGTTAGCCATAGCAGCAAGTCTGTGTTTAAGGGTTTGAACGTTGCGTTCCGCTAATCCATTCGTAGCTGGGTGTCCTGGTGCGATAAATTTTTGAAAAATACCTGCTGATTGGCAAAACTTTTTGAAATTTTCACTGGTGAATATAGTTGCATTATCGGAAACCATAACATCGGGAAATCCATTACGAGCCCATTTGGATTTTGCGTCGATAACGACAAGAAAATGATGATTCTGAAACGGTCCTGCATAGTCGATATGTATTCGCTGTCAATTATTTTCTGGTTCCATCCAAGGGTGCAATGGTGCTCTTGAAGGGTTTGGCTGAACAGATGCACATGATGGGCAACTTCTTACCATGCGATCAATGCCTGTATCAATAGATTTCCAGTAAACGTAACGTCTGGCTAATTGTTTCATTTTAGTCATCCCAATGTGAGTATGATGAAGCTCTTTCAAAACTGCAGCTTGTAAAGATGTAGGTATAACAACACGCTGGCCTTTGAATAACACATCGCAGTCTACAGTGAATTCTGCTTTGCAATTTGAATCCTGTTTTAGATCTTTCAAAAGTGCTGACAGTGTTTCGTCCTTAAGTGTTTTCTTTTTCAGCGTTTCATAAGACAATTCTGATGTAGTTATTTGTGAAATGTTAGAATTACATAAATGATGAACTTCGTTATTGATTACTGAATCTATTTGAAGTTTTGCTGAAAACGGTGCCCTTGAAAGGCAATCTACATTTGAATTATCTTTTCCTTTTCTGAAGGATAATGTGTAATTGAATCCAGACAAAAAAGTAGCGTATCTTTGAAGTCGAGCTGAAGTCATCTTGGGAATCTTTGCGTTCTGATGAAAAATTCTTAGAAGCGGCTGATTATTCGTAATGAGTGTGAATGGGCGTTCAAACAAATATTGGTAAAATCGATCCACAGAAAAATGATGGCCAAGTCTTCTCTATCGAGTTGAGAGTAACCTTGTTCTGCAGAAGTCAAAGACCTTGAAGCAAATGCGATAGGCCGTTCATTTTCATCCACAACGTGTGACAATATTCCAGCAACACCATTAGGACTTGCGTCGCATGCAAGTTGCACTGGTAACGATGGATTGAAAGGCATAAGAACTTGGTCACTGGCAATTTCTTGTTTGAGTCTGATGAAAGGTGCTTCACATTCTGTTGTCCACCTGAATCTGACATTGTTTTTCAGCAGGTGACGAAGAGGAGCAGTTTTACTTTAATTGTTAGGAATGAATCTTGCATAATATGTAACCATGCCTAAGAATCTTCTGAGTTCTTCCACTGACGTCGGCTTCGCCATGTTTATGATTGCAGCAACTTTTTCGGGTGATTTTGAATTGAATTTAATAACATGTCCCAAAAACTCAATTTGATCTTGAAAAAATTTGCATTTGCATATATTGAGATGCAAGTCATATTTCTGTAATTGATCAAAACATACATTGAGATTTGTTGCACATTCTTCTCTACTATTTCTATGAACCACTATGTCATCAAAATAAAATTCGGTCTTAGGCATTTCTCGTGAAATCTGATCCATAATACGGTTGAATTCTGATGGGGCTGTTTTTATCCCAGAAGATAATCGATTCATCTTGTATGTACCTCTGTGCGTAGTAATTGTTTGAATTTCACTCGATTTCTCATCAACCTTGATATGAAGATAGGCTTTGTATGAATCGAGCCTATAGAAGAATCGAGAATTACGTAGACTATTCAAAATATCTTCGATTTTCCGAATTGGATAATGTGAATTCATAAGTCGCTCGTTGACTCCGACTTTGTAATCGACAGCCAAACGTACGCCTCCATCTGCCTTTGGTATTACGACTAATGGTGATCCCCAGTCAGATATCGATATTTTCGTTATGATTCCTGCATTTTCAAGTGCATCCAACTCTTTTTCAACCAATGTGCTGAGTGCGTAGGGAATTTCACGTTCACGATGGAAACATGGCTGTACACCTTCACGTAACTTGAGAACAACATTGAAACCTGGAACACATCCAATTTTCTCTTCGAAAACATTTGGATATTTGGCGCTTAGTTCCTCTACACTCCACAGGTTGAATCTTTCAAAGGGTACTGAAGTGTTTTGTTGACTTAGTTGATTCAAATCTATCTTGAGGCGTCGGATCCAAACTCTACCAAGAATAGCAGCGTAATTATCTGGCACAATATAAACATCTTCTTTTATTTTGATGTTACCATAAGAAACGTTAACTACAATCTCTCCATCGGGTATGAAAACATCTTGAGTAAATGAGCGGAATCCCATGGTTGCTGGTTCAAGAGGAATATTCAGATTCAAATCTTGTAATTGTTGACGTTGAAGAAACGTATAAGCTGATCCCGAATCTACTTCGAATTTGATTAGTTGTCCTTCTATCTTGACGTGGGCGTAATAACGATTCATATCAGTGCCAGAACTATTATGATTTTGATGAATATCAACAATATGTTGCACACCATATTGTCGTGCGATTTCATATGAATCGTCGCTTTGAATTTCAGTAGTAGTCGATTCAGATTTTGTGTTTTTTGCAACTAATGAAGTAATGCAGACCTTAGAAACGTGACCAGTCCTGTTGCATAAGGTACATTTGAGTGAGATTTGTTCAGTGTGACAATATTTTGTGATATGATTGGATTTCCCATACCTAAGACAAATATTCTGCAGTCCTAGTGATTCGAGGTTATATTTGCGACTAAGTGGCCTATTGTACCTTGATTTTTTATTTATTGAAGGGATATATGAACGTGAATGATTTCTGTGCATTTTATGAACATGTTGGTGTGAACAGTTGACTTTATTGATATCAACTGTTGGAGATGACGTTGAAATTGTTTTCTGGGCAATTTTGTGAGCATCAATTTTCGAAGATTCGACCGCAATTGCTCTCGTAAAAATGTCTTTGAAAATTTTACTATCAGACTGAAGTAATTGTTCACGAATGCTATTATCGTATAAGCCACGAATGAATTGAGCTGTCAGGAAGATTTCTGCAACTGATTTCTTGCACTCGCATGTAAATTCACAGTCACTTATATTACTCTTAAGTGTACTTACAAATTCTGGAATTGATTGTTGTTCATTTTGATAAATTGACAAAAAGTGATGTTGAGCAACTAAAACGTTCTTCTTTGGTGCAAGATGTTCTTCCAATAACTTTATCAATTCATCATACGTCAACTGATCAAGAGTTTTAGGAGCAGCCAAAGCTGTAATCATGTTGAAATTTTGAGCTCCAATAGAATTTAGTATCAATTGAGCACAATAAGGCTTATTTGTATTGATCTGCTTCATTTGAAGGTAATTCTGGAACCTGCTTTTGTAATTTGAAAACGATTCTTGCTGTCAAAATTTTCGAAGTTTGCTAAAAGTGCTGTATTCATCACAATTTCTCCCTTGCTTGACGATTCACGGTTTGTCTGACTCTGTGATCTTTGTAATTGAGAAAAGAGAGTAGATATCATTGCAGTTTGAAATTCCATGCATTCTTTGAACTACTGGGCATCCATTCTTGAATATTTTTTTTTCGAATATTTTTCATTTTTATAATCTTTCTAATTCACCTCGTCGCCAAAACTGTTGTGAATGAGTAGTATTTGATTTGATTTATGTATTAATACCAGTTTATAATGAATATGTGACTTCTCTTTGCGATCTTTTTAATTGAAATCTATTTGACAACTTGATAATAATTTCGACTAATGGTATAACGGGTGTATCAAATATATAAATATATGTAATACACAACAATTATTGCGGCAATGAAAAATGGATATGTTACGGGTAATGTTAGAAGACGGAGTAAACCCGGGTTGACTTAGTATTACCCAAGCTTTTTGGGTAAAGTCCGAATAATGAGTAAAATAAATTTCAATACGGGCTTTACCCATACTCACCTAGGTCTACCCAACTCTGGCTGGGTAATGTTACGTGTTGCGTCATTTTCGAGAACCCGGCACACTTATGGTTTAGCAACTGTTTCGAATTAACTTTCAAATATTCTCCAGGTTAGGTTAGGTTAGTTAAGTTACATTCAAATTGTACTATTAAATATTCTTATTCACATTATAGGTTCATTAACAAAAGTGCGCCGGTACCTAAAGTAGGTAATCCCTGCTTTCAGAAGGTCAAGGTTATGAAAGGTGTAATTGCAAAACAAAATGTGTTACAAAGGAGTGTTCATGCAAAGCTGCAGAAAAAGTTTGCAATTCTCTATTATGGAATTTTTTTATAGTAGAGGATTTATGGGGAGCTGAAGGAACTGCAGTTCAGATCAACATATTCGAGAGGGTAGCTAATTCACCGCTGATTCCATCAGTCAGAGCTTTATATTATTGTTTCTTCAAGTGAGACATGTATTATGTAACAAAAAGTATTCGTAAATGACTACTTGATGCATATAAGTTATGAGAGAGTGCCACTGACCGCCTATATGCAGTTCTCTTGTCATGGGCAGTTGCCATTACTGTGAAAATCATTCCCATAACGCCAATAAGTATTAAGTAAGGTTGGTAGTGATATTTTTGTTGTAGATGAATAAGTGGAGAAACTAACAATGTTTTCTTCAGATCTCGATTGAAATAATCTTTGATCCAATAATCCAAGTTTAATTGACTAACTAAACGATCAACATGGAGTGAACAACTTTTCGTAAATGTTATAAGAAAATAAAAATAAATGAATTGAATTCACGATCTGTCTTTCTAAGTCAATGATGACTTTTGCAAAAATTCAATGATCACAGTAATAGATTGTGCATCTTCCATGACAAAGATTTTCAAGACCAGAGGAATTTGCCAATGAGACAATACATTTATTTTCGGATTTTCGAACCAATTCGACGAAAAGGAACGACCAAGAACCATTCTCCCATTGTATGAGATTTTGCGTGAAGACAACCTCCACGAAATGTCCCCTTACTGGTAAAGGCCTTACATAAGCCAAACATTACATTGTGTCTACTATTCATCAGCCCTTCTACTAATCAATCAGTAGAAACGGCAATTCATAGTGAAAATCATACAATAAACTGTATTAATTAGTTTTAATATGGATTTTCATGAAGTATCGGCAGTTCTATTCAATTAGAATGGACAATTTTGTTCTGAAACAGATAAAAGATTACTCCTCCCGTTCTACAATGAGCAAAATGTTCCAGATCTCGAAGAAAACAATTACAATCTTATTGTTTGAAATCGTCAGAAAGAACATTTTATGTTTGCTATTACTTCAAACGCATCCATCAATTTGTAAATTTTTTTTGTCGACATTTTGAGTATTTTCACCTTACACAATCTAAAATAATGTCATGGGGTTGTGGCAAAGATTCCAGTAGCGCAAAATCGCATTGTAACACTGATTTTTGATATGGAAATAGCTAAATACCGATATTTATAAAAACGGAGTATCATCAGTACCATCAATATATTTGTTCAAATGTGTTTTATGGGAATAAATCTGTCTACTTCTACACCCAATGCAATCTCCCATAATTTTGCACTTGGCATGGCAATTTATTGGTAATACCAGCCCGCATCTCATCAAAATGCAAAATCTCTCCCAGTACAATGCTAATCCGTTTTATAATTGCCTCATTTTTCCAGAAATCGAACAAAATACTCAACAACAATTCTAAAGCTCTGTCATTATTCCCTTATGGCACACTCATGTTAATTACGATGCGGCACTCGAATTCATTGTTCTTTCTACCATTCGAGGAAAACAAATAAAATACGTCACAAACCTAGACATACCAATTAATGTGATACAGCATTCGAAAACAATTCTAATATAAGATAATTGACTATTATTGCACGCAGCTGACACTTTTGAATTCCCAAAAAAATTAAACGGCTCCGATACATCGGTTCAGTTCGGTTTACACCACTAACAATTGAGACAATAAGTTTAATTACTCAAAATTATTCGAACCGGATTGAACGAACTTTTATCGGATATACTGAGTGCTTCAATGGAAACTTACTCTATAATGAAGAAAAGGTTTTTTGTTCATTTTTCTGGACAGTTAGTCCAGTAG